ACGGTCACATAGCTGCTGCAGTGTCAGCGATTGGACTACTTGAAGGGGACTACAATTGGGCCCGCGTTGCAATCAGGTTAGTTTCAGCATCTTGAAAGCCAGGATTACACAGTTGCAGCTACGTTGATTTATGCAACGTGCTGGTCCTCGTCAGAAAAAAAATGAACTTGCGATGACTCCTGACCCTATATAGACTTCCGATTCTTTCAACACCGTTTGAAGCATTTTGGTGGCGTTTTTTTTTAATCAAAACTTCAAAATAAGTGGATGTAATGGTGTGGGCATTGTTCCAGTTACGGTGGTATTTTTGTACATAAAACTCTAACCCGTGACGTACATAGCACTGATCTGGTCCGCACGTGACACGACCAGCGCTCACCATTTGTGCACGCCATATGCGTTCATGTGTCCGTGGTCATGCAGCATCCGGGACATTTCCTTTGAGCGTTTGCAGGTGCATATATCATGTAGGTGGTTTGCAGCTCTGTTCTTTTTGCTGGCGTTTCCAGTGAAGATTTGTTTTTCTGTTTCATACACCCACAAAAAATTTGCAAACTGAAAAAGGTAGGAGAGATTAACTCCGACGTTTAGAACAATGTTCTGCTTGCTTCCTATGTACCAAAAAGAACCGTGTTTCAGGCACATGATCCACCGGGTGGCGCGTAATGCCATTTGTTATTAGGCGATCTCTTCTCCGGGTACCCGATGTAACAAAAAACGGGTACCCGGTTCTAAAAATACCCGCAAATGTACACCCCTAGCTGCTATGTGGATCAGAAAGCTGAACTTTGCTCAAGGATAACCATAGACTCTAGACCTTCCACATGACATGTCAACGGCACATTCCTGGGGTCCACGGTTTGACTTTTCCACCACCATGGCCATCTCACACGAAACAAACTCGGAGGACATCCACTTCATCATTTCAAAGCAACACTGCTCTCTCTTTGGGCACATTTACCGCCTACCGAGAAGTACTCTAGTTCAACCTTGACATATTTTTTTCGACTACCACATCGGTGAAGCAGCAGAAACCAGAATCCCAGTGCATGCAGACATAACCAAGAAAATGTTTGCGCAATGCTCACACTCAATCAGAAAAAAAAAACCAACTATGGACCACTTCATTCTAAAAGACTATGT